GATCTACAAACCAACAAAGCCTCAACACCCTGTGGGTGTGTCCTTGCCTAGGGAACTCGCTAACCATATCGTGATGGAGAACGAAATCTTCATCCGTGTCTACTGTCTGATGGACCCATACCACGCTCTCTTCGTTCGATATCTGCTTTCCATGATCCTTGAAGAGCGAGGGCCCCGGAGTGATACCAAGGCCAAATTGGACAAGTCTTTGATCTTCATTGCCTTGGATACATTAGAACAGTTACTTTCGAGGTCAAGGGAACCGTTGGGCCTGGACGCATTTGTTACACTGCTCTTCACAGTCATTTCCGAGGTGCCGATGGCGGCTTATAGAGTCATGCAGTGGTTCGAAAACAAGCCGTCAGCAACCCGCAATTTGGTTCTAAGGAGTCCCCATCCGGCCGTCCGCAGCAACTCAATAAGGCTCATAATCTGCTCTCTTTCAAAACTCCAAGGGCTTCAGAAAGGTGCAGATGACGAGGATGTCGAGAAGGAAGTATGGAAGATGAGATACTTGAATAGCTTCGAGAATGTGGTGCGGACTTTGGAAAGCATGTGGTCGACATTGCATACCGCGAGCCGCTCCTGGGATGATTACTTCGAGTTCTTGTCGATGCTTGCAAACTTTGGGCAATACGAAGCTGGCATAATTCTCAACAATGGATTCCTCCTCAAATGCCTTGAAATCGTTTGGCTTGACCATGAGGACTCGAAGCGCCTAAGACGGCAGTACGCTTTTATCATCAAGTTCATGGAGAAGGGCAGGCGATTCTCCTACAAACGACTCATGGATCTCCTTGCCTATCTAATAGCACGCATTGACCTCACTGTTCCGCCGAGCCAAGACGATAAACGACGAACCTTGCCAGACGGCAGGTACACTCTTACAATGTCGGAGGCCATGTTCATCCGGCCGCTGGGGAAGAGCAAAGAGTTGTCGTTTCTGACAACAGTTCTCACGCATAACAGCAGTCCACCGGCAAGCAGGAATATCGTTACTCTTTTTGTGGACGCAGAGCCCGATGCTGGTCTTATGGATCCAATCTGTAGAACTCTGGAAGAAGGCTTGAGACTGGCACCGGCCAGTCTTTGCGCTCCATTCCTAGAGGCAACCTTGATATTCTGTCGACGAGGCCCTGACGAGGCTAGAATCGTCAGTCTGATTGACTTCGTCGCCAAGGGGGTTGATTCTATTAATGACAGCGGTGGCAGGGAGCATATCGTCTTCTTCACGAGCGTTATGGGCAGTCGCAACGATCGGCTTGGACTCAATGAAGCTTGGTTTTTGAACCATCTCATCGAGATGGTCCCGGAGTGGGCTCCTCCCTTGCTAACTTTCCCCGATAGAGGGGTTCGCAACATGACGCTGGACGTCCTTCGGCAAATCCTATTCAGCGGCGAAGCGGAAGAGGCAGGCGACGATTGGCAGACACGTCAGGCCGAAGTAGCTAAGAAATTGGTACACGCGAGCATCAACCGATTGCGGAAAGCATATGTCAATGTCCCAGGCTCTGGCGTCGATCCCAGAGCAGTGGAATCCATCCGCACTGTGGTGGAACATTGCCTAAGCACGTATTTTGGTGATAGTGAAGAAGACCAGGAGGCTATTCTGCAAGCCCAGGGTACGTTATTTTCAGAATCATGTTCGGTTTTATTGTTACTAACGGAAGACTACAGAAACCATTGCAGCTGTTGAGGACCTGATTGCTGAAGTCCCAGAAGAGCTAGCATCCGGTGGGTTGTGATTACTTTTCCATCCCAGTCTATTTCAGCCACTGACTTCCTCTTGCAGAAGACTGGGAGGATAATTCCGTCATGGCCAGTGATTCGGAGATGGGGCTGGCAGGATCTCCGTGAGACCTGCATCTGGTAATGCCTCCGCGGTGGTTCATTGTATCACATATGAGAGACGAATTTATGATAAAACCCTTTTTGTGTGGTTCTGGCCTGCATTTATCGGCGTTTGCTTCTCGCCAGGCTCTAATAGAATTGGGCCTTTGCTTCTGTTCCGGCTAAGGTTGCTTTGTGTGTTGGCTTGTACTGTCTTTCGCTTGAGGAGATTTCTGTTTCCGTGGCATGTGTTAATGCAAGGGGGGGGGCTTTGACTTGGCGCCTTTATAGGGATGGTCTGTTATGTGCTTTCTGGGAGGAAGCTAGCTTTAGAACCCTTGCAATGATGATGATCCATAGGCTTGCGTTACTGAACGCCAAAGCCGAACTTCGGAAGCAGCTGTTGGTGTTGCTTTTGCCACCTATCTAGCAAAGTAAATATAGTAGAAAGTCCTAAACCAACTGCACTAAGTTCCCGATTTTCTGTACTTGGCAACGGCTTTGCGTTGTATAACTAGCTTTAGAGTATCACGACACTGCATGGTAGACTGATAGTACTGATGGTATTACTACTACTATGCTGAGCTTTGTTTAATGGATATATCATGTTGACTACTCTCAGCGCGCACATGGGACAGCCCAAAACACGAATTACGAGTTCGTGAGCGAGATGCCTTCCTATCACTTTACTTCTGGCTCAACCCAACCGCTTAGTTCGGTATATTTAGTTGTTTCATCCCAGGGAGATAATAAGTATCGAGAAGTTCATCATGAAGCCCAATTCGACTCGATAATTATCTGGTATGTCACTTCAGCAGTATATAGACGAATGCTATCAGGCCGGTTCTATGTCTCGCCTAGATTTTCCAATGTCGATTGACGAATGTTCTTCCGACCATGATCCTGCATCCTAAGATCTGAGTGACTTGGCTTGGCTTAGGGATCGGAAAAGACTCACCTGAACGAGTCCCCTGGGTTGCTAACACAATTTCCTCTGGCTCCATCTCACTGATCATCCAGAATTCCTTCGATATTGAGTTCATGTCAGTCGACACTTCTTTTACTCTGACCTCACTTTACCTATTCTAAGCCTCCCGAACTTCAAGATCATAACTGACACTGCATTCACTTTCCTCTCAGCTTCCTAGAACCGAACTCTCAACTAAAACTCTGAGAGACTTGCTTGCTCAGTGAATTTTCACAGGTATAAATACCCCCCTCCTCTTCCCTCTCCTCGGGACGTCAACTTTCTTTCCTTCTTCCAACTACCTCAGAAGCTTCTATTACAATGCACTTCAACTACCAACACTCAATCATCAATCATCGATACATCTTTTCTTTCCTTGCATCTGGGCCTCATCAACCTGTGGTCACAACGACATCCCAAAACCCAGAGAAATCTTAATCATACTACGCTTCAACCATCAATAATCACTTGTTGATAAGGATGTCCTCCTCATGCATCTTTGACTCTGCTTCTGGTCGAAGCTATCCTAAGCCAAAAATGATATGAATCTAATCGACATCTTGGTCTGATAAAGTATATAGCTTTCATGAAACTTCATAAAGCTCTTCTGCATGGATATCTGGTCCTCCGTCTGGACATTGGGAACTCCTTCTAAGAGGGGATGTGGACGGGGATCTGATAGAGGACGTTGGGTCCGAAATCTGGTAAATCAAGAAAACGGAAGGCAGGCTCAATACGCCGATAACATGCAAGATTGCCTTGCCTATGTTGATTGAAGACAAATTTGAGCCATATTAACACATATACTATATAGGGTAAGTAAGCTGTTCTTTAATCTTCATGTCTTTATTATCAAATAATAAGAGTTTTCTTTCTAGCTGTTACCTACGGCAGCCATGAGGCTTCGACAGCTTGGCACCATATAATTTATGGTACATTGTGAAAGGAGCTATTATAGCTAACAGATCCTAGAGAAGCTGCATAAGCCACGTCTTTGTGGATCCAGTGACGGAGTACTACTCAGTACTTATCCCGTCTTCGTCTTTACCTCTGATAATGACAAAATCATGACACCTACAGTATTGATAAATATATCCCTAAGCTCTATCCAATCTTGTTGTATAGCATGTGTGCTTCACGGGCTCTCAGCTGTCAATGAAGTTCGGAATCAAGGGCAGCAGTCTGCTGCCTCATTCGCTCGTGGCTGAATAGGTCATACTTACATCAATGGTGTTGTCCTCTGATGTAAGCTATGTTGGGAAAGCTAGATATTTATTGGGAAGAAGACCATATAAATTTATGGTATTTACGAATTCTACCTCGGATGAATAGTACGAACTTCAGTCTGCCTCCCAAGTTGCAGGATTGGGAGAAGACATGGGTACTATATACCTTCGGGCAAAGCCTTTCAAAAAGTTTTATCGAGATAATATTGGCTAGCCTGTCAAGGATAGGAAATGCTCGCCAGACTTACTGCCTGTTATTTTGGCGAAAATGATTCTACTGGGAAATGTTATAACATTAATCATATTTCCAAGTCGGATGATCAATCCTGCGACTGGGTCTGTCCTGGTAGACTCAGTCAGAAATCAGAACCTCCATGAGGCATTACGACAATGGATCCTCATCACCGTGGATGACAAAGACCAAATTGCTGGGTTTTGGCATGATATGCGACTTTCTTTGCAAAGATAATATTAGTACATCGTTGCAGTTTGCCGAAGGCCGGCATCAAGCTTCAGACACTCACTCGGGACGGGGCGTGTCTTCTATGTATACTTTCTAGCAATGCTTTGGATGATATGTTACGCCGAAGATTGAGGTGAAAACATCTGGTCTATCCAATGCCGGAGGGGCAGATTTGATAGACAAGAAGGGTGTCAGCTGCAGTTGGTGATGTATTCCTACAGAAAAAAAAAGAATCTACAGATGGGAATTCGACCGACTGATAACCTCAAGTGACAGGTTCATTCGTGGGTTTATGCTGCGATTCCGATAGTGTTGTGATGCGCAGGATGGATGAAGATTGCGGAGGATGGTAGTGTGATTCTGAGGGTGTTGAAAGAAACCATGTTGAACTATACTACTCTGTTGTGGCTAATTCTATTTGAATATGACTCTACATCAATGAAACTTGTAGATAGCTCATCCACTTCTCCAGAAGTGGCTTCTTCTAATTTTACATTCATCTATCATACGTCCTGGCCGTTAAGACTCTGGAATAAAAGGTGTGGAGGGCGCCCGCGCCCATACCGAGATGCAAAATACAAGTCACACAGTAATCGAATACTACACGTCTTCAAACTCCTCATCGTCGTCCTCATCCGACTCTTCTTCTTTCTTGACCTCCGGTTCAGTCTTGATCTTCTTCGCCGTCGGGCCTTCATCACTTCCTGTGGCTGGCGTCGCCGCTGCTGTCTGAGACGTACTGACGCTCGAGTAATCCGTATCCAACTCCCGCTTGATGCCTACCGATGATGTAGTCGAAGTTTGCTGCATCGGTGCACTGGTAGGGCCTCCACCAGGCGTAGGCGTAGCATTAACAGCAGGAGAACCACCCGCATCACTAGCCGACACACCCACGTCCTCGAACTCATCGAACTCATCGGAGTCCTCTTCCGCACTGCTTGCGTCTTCCTGTGCCTGGAGGGCCTTCTCGCGCTCCATCTCAGCATAGTACGCCGCGACCTTGTCATCCAGACCATTGATCTCCGGTTTCCGGTCTTCGTCTTCGCCCTTGATCTCCGGTTTAATGTCGACGTCGGTCTCGGATTTGACCTGCGGCCCGCCGCCCGCGGACGTGGACACCGTGGAGTGGGTGTGCCAGACTGGCAGGGCGTTCTGTTTCTCGACTGCCGCTTTGCGCGCCGCTTCGGCGGCTTGTTCGGCGGCGGATTTCTCTTCGCTGGAAGTGAGGGAGATTTCGAGGGCGGTGGCGTCGGTCTTGGTATTTCCGCGGACGGCTTCTTGTTGTTGCTTCGAGGGCACGATGACTGCTGCTCGCGTGGGGTGGGTTTGCTGGTTCCGGACGACGTCGATTTTATGGTCCCAGGCTGTATCAAAGTCATTGGGGGGGATTTCGACAGAGTCGATTTGTTTGAGGAGTTTGAGCATCGTGTCCAGTTGATTCATGAGTTTGCTGTTTTTCTCGTGTCCGGTTCTGTCGATGCCTTCGGCGCCTTTGACATCTTCGGTACGTTCGAGAATCGCCCCGCAGTTTTGGCATTCGAAGCCTTCTTCGCTGTAGAGACTGAGGACGTCGAGTTCGGTCCATTCGGAGCCGCAGCGGAGGCAGATGTATTCCTTGCGCTCTTGGCTGGGTGTGTATTGGGCTTTTATTGTGGAGGTGAGCTTCGAGACTTTGTATTTGATCGCGTCGACGACGGGGTGCAGTGGGATGTAGTAGTATTCGCGGTTCACGGGACGTGTTGAGCCATCACGGATTTCAGCCCGCGTGCTCCTGTTTTTGGGTCATTGTTAGTGTCGGAGGTTTCTTCGTGAGGGTGACGTTGGTATAGGCGTTGGTGTAGCTTACACGGAGATGAGGCGGTCTTCGCGCAACTTGGCGCAGAGTTTCCGTAGGTCTTTTTGTTGCATACCTAGGAGGAATGCAAGGTCTTCTGCGTGTAGACTATGGATCATCAGGTCAGCATGGAGTGTCCATTGCGATGCGATGATATCGGCGCGGGACGTACACGGAGTGGATGAAGAGCGCATCTACTACGAGGATGTGGCGGGTCTCGTAGAAGGCGCGCACGACGCTGCGGATGAGGGTGTTTGCGAGATCCATGATAGCTGGTGTAGTTTAATCAGCGTGTTTAGAGGCGGAATATAATACAAAAAGGGAATGGCGAGGTAGTGTTCAAGCTGGAGATTCAGTCGGCGCAACCGGCGCAAATGTCCTTGTCTTCCAGTGCTAAGCTCGGCGCTGCAAAATCACCATGCTTTGTCGGAGAGCTACTGGCGGAACGTGGATAACGAGAGCCCAATTACAGTATATATCAGGCCGACAGATACCGCGCAGGGAGAGTGAGGGGATTGACTGGCGAGAGATGAAAGAGAAGATGAGGTTTGAATGAATGAAGCCGGCGGAGATGACCGACACCTCAGGCATACATACATTGTTCTGCCTGGGGCATGCACATCCCCGCAATCGGACTAGCGCGGAGATAGAAATGCGGCAACAGAAAGAAAAGGCGAGCAGAAAAGCGCATCGACAAGCAGCTTTTCCCATGCCGCTCCACATTATCCTGCGACGCTCTTTGGCCCCCCATCTGTCAATTTCCGGCGCGCGCACTTCTCTGCGTACCCCCCAAGCGCGGTTCTATTCTCCCGAGTACCTACGATCGCTCAAGGCCCGTCGCATCCCATGGACAATAACGAAGGAAGACCTCCGCAAGCCGGAGGCGGAGCTGATCGAGGTCGTAAGAAGCGGAATATGGGACGATCCGAGTGGAGGTATGTTGTGCCAGTTCCCCCGATCTGAAATGTTTGGGTTGAGCAATTGATTGTCTGACTTCCAGCTAACCCAGAAAGTCGGAATATGGTAGATAAGAGAGCCCGCCACGATGCTCAGCAGGAAGCGAAACGTCGCAAGCTTGAGAATGGAGAGGAGGTCAGGGCTCCTGTGTATGCGACGCAATTCTCTCAGGAGGATATCGAGAGCGAGCAGCGCCGCCCCAAGAAGAAGGTCGCCGTGCTGCTGGGATACTCGGGAACCGGGTACAAGGGCATGCAATTGTATGGTTACGAACCCTTGCGATTTACCTCGAAACATTATCGGAGCTGTTACTGATTGTCGGTAGGAGCGAGACGGAAAAGACCATCGAAGGAGAGCTCTTTGCAGCGTTCGTGGCGGCCGGCGCCATCTCCAAGGCCAACGCAACCGATCCGAAGAAGTCATCGTTGGTGCGGTGCGCGCGTACCGACAAGGGTGTCCACGCCGCGGGAAACATTGTTTCCTTGAAGCTGATTGTCGAAGACGAAGACATCATCCAGAAGATCAACGAAAAGCTCAGCTCGCAGATTCGCGTATGGGACATCCTCGTTACGAATAAGTCGTTCAGCAGTTATCAGCTGTGCGACTCTCGCATCTACGAATACCTCATCCCAACCCACTGTTTCCTGCCGCCTCACCCCAGCACTTACCTGGGTAAGAAACTCGTCGAGTACGCCGAGAAGGAAGGTGACATGGAAGGTTACACGGCCCGACAGGAAGAGGTAGCGAGCTACTGGGAAGAGACCGACGAGAAGTACGTCCGACCCATCCTCGACAACACGCCCGAGGATATCCGCAAGCTCGTTGAGAAGGTCCTCCATCTGAACGATGAGGACCGGTCCGCGCAAGACGACATGTTCCAGACACAAGACAAGCCCGCATCAGAGGAAACCACCGAACAGCCATCTACTGAAGAAAAGCCCGCAGCCGCCGAAAACGACGAGGCCGAAGAAGCGCGCCGACGTAAGGTCTTCGAGACCGTCAAGGCCATTAAAGCCGCCTACCTCCAGGCGAAGAGGGCCTACCGTATCCCGGCCCAACGCCTGGCCCGCGTGCAAGAAGCCCTGGACAAGTACGTCGGAACGAATAACTTCTTTAACTACACAATCCAAAAAACACACGCCGATCCATCCTCGAAACGTCACATCAAGTCCTTCAAGATGGCCGAACAGCCCATCATCATCAACGGCACCGAATGGCTCAGCCTCAAGGTCCACGGCCAAAGTTTCATGATGCACCAGATTCGCAAGATGGTCGCCATGGCTGCCATGGTCGTGCGCTGCGGCTGTGATACCCAACGCATCGTCGAGACTTACGGTGCTAATAAGATCGCTATCCCTAAGGCGCCTGGTCTGGGTTTGCTTCTTGAACGGCCCGTCTTCGACTCCTATAACAAGAAGACTCATGAGACGGGCAAAGATCCTATCGATTTTGACAAGCATGCTGATACCATTAATGAATTCAAGCAGCGTGAGATCTACGATCGGATCTTCCGCGAGGAGGAAGAAACTCATGCGTATGTTTATCACTCCCCTGTTTTCCTTGATCCTTTTACACTTATAGATCTTAAACTAATACTTGTATCTAGTTTCTCTGCTTTCTTCGGTCACCTCGACCACTACTCGCAAGAGGAGTTCCTCTACGTCACATCTGGTGGTATTCCGGCTGCCAGGCTGGTCTCGGTGCCGGCTAACGGCACGGAGGAGAAGAAGTCGCAGCGCGAGGCCTTGGCAGAGGTAGAGGGTGCTGCGTCGGAGGATGAGGGAGCTCCCCCGAACGGAGGCGAAGAGGGGGGTTAGGCATATCGTCCATAGCTTATCTGCTGTTGATTATGAATGGCTGATATGTTAGACCTGTATGTATAAAAGCTATTGTTATCCAGTAGCTATCATGATATTTGTTTCCAAAAGTTATCAACTAAACGAATGTCGGATAAAAGAAAAGGAAGGCGTGGATCGCCCCAAAAGATTCCTATCATTCTGGCTGCTTCTCATCTTACCCTTGTATTCCTTTCGACGTTGCGAAGCAAAAGGAGTCATGATCGAACCCCTAGACAATCCTGTCTGCATTCTGGCAGATGAACTGGGCCACACACTGGGGTCCGATCAAATCACGATTCCCTTTGCATATGCATCCATATACTTGCCCAAAGATGCGTCTGTAGCCATTGGTGGTTAGCGAACCAAATATTTAACTGTTAAGTATGAAAGGGTGGGAGCAGGCAAATGGCAACGTACAAACAGACACGGCCTCGTTGAGCGAATTCTGCATATAGGTGGGTGCACTCTGCATGACCCCATCCAGAAGAAGAGGAGAGGAGTCAGTCACTGCAATTATACATCCCTTCATGTCTTTTCTTCCGATTGGAGAGGGGTTCTCGTACCGCCATATTAGCTCCGTCTTGCAGCCAGCCTTTGATCTCTACTGCATCGGCCTGCACTACGGTCCAGTAGCTCTGGAGGACCTTGACGTTCTGCTGAAACACAGTAAACTGCTCATCGCCCAAGGTCTCCAAGCCAGTTCGAGCTTGATCAATAGCATCAATCTCGGCATTTTTATCCTTGATCTGCTGATTTTTCCCATCAATCTCATTTTGTATGACTGTAGTGATGACCTTGTAAGCTTCACATCTCCCCAAGAACTAAAATTTCTAAGAAAGCAGACTTACTGCCCATGGAAATGGCGATGCCGGCCACTGCAGCAGCCGTGGCTCCGGCGAAAATAAGACCACCGATCTGTAAGATATATCCCGTGTTAATTATTTACTGTCGTGGATCTATTTCCAGAAACAGACGCCCAAGTAAATAGAGGGGGGAGGTGGAAAAAGGCAACCCAGTTGAGCAGGGACATACCAAGATAAATGGAGCAACAGGCCCCGACAAGGCAAGTCCAATACCAGCTGCTGCCAGCCCGGCTCCCAGGCCAACACCGAGTGCCAATAGAGATATACGCAGCTTGCCCAACTTGTCATTCAAGTCGCTGATATCTGCGAGTAGGTCCTCTATATCCTGTCTCAGTTCCCCCTGCTTGTCCTTACCCCACTGACCGAACTGAGCTTTGAACAAGATAAAATCGTTGACTAGATTATCGAAATCCTTATTAATCTGTTCGCCCTTCTCCCTGAATCCATCTGCCCTCTATAGTGAGCGAACCAGTTAGCTTGTCGAAAAATAGCATGCATATATGGTATGGATCAGCTGACTTCAATGAATTTGTTGATTTGTTCCAATCGTAGTTCCACGGTTAGACTCTCATCAGAACATAGCGGAACAATAAGCTTATCGAAGCCTAGAGTTGCAGTGGAGTGTCAGCGTGAGGAAGTCTGGGATGGGCAGAGGGCAAGTAAAACTTACTGGAGCCATACTGACTGATTTCAGCTGCCATAGTCCGGCTAGTGGTGAGCACATCGTTGTATTTCTTGCAAAGACGAAGTAAATTAGCATAAATAATTCACGACACATGTCCCTTGACAGAAACTCCTAAGAAGGAGAAAAAGAAGTGGTAGAGGGGCAAGCCATGCATACGGATTTATTCTCATTCAACTGCACAAGAAAGTTTGTCTGTTCGAGCTGATCAATTTCGGCAATCTTCACTTGCAAGGCTGTGAACGAGCCATCGATCGCCACGACTGCCGCGCTGGCAGCACTCGCGTCCTCTTGCATCTTGGCCACTGTGTCCTCTCTGGACATGGTCTTTGCGGCACCCAACGACAGCTTCCTCTTATCATCCTCGGTCTTGATGGGATTGTTGGCCTCGGCTCCATCGCTGAGGACTTTCCGCTCCTCTTCAGAGAGTGATGTCGCTACGTCCAGATACTTCTGGGGAGTAGGGTCACTGCCCACCAGCTGGTTAACTTTGTTGGCGACCTCCTCATAGGAGGGTGGGGAGTCCCCAGCCACGTAGGTAGGAGGAGGAACAATTGTTGTGGTTGCCATTGTGAGACAGTGGTGGATTGAACCGTGTAGAGAAGAAAAGAGTAGATTGAAAATAGATGATTTAGCTCGTGGTGTAGTCTGTTTCTTCGAATAGATACGAGAGAATGGTGCTTCGGGGTCGATGGTAAGAGTCTTCATGTCCTTTGCTGGCTACCTTATATACTGTAGCCATCTTTCATTCATTCTCTTTTCATCTCTAAAGGAGGAGGTGGCAAGTCTGCCTGCATATTTTTTTCGAGATGCGTCATGCTATGCATAATCCTCAAGCTGAGCTGCCTCGAACTTGCAGTAGATGTTGGTTACCAAGGGTCGAGGAGAAAGATGACAAGGATGATAGTTGGTTCGGGGACATGGAGG